ACTTTTTCCGAGTCAATGAGGAAGTAAGTGAAAGCACCTATTTTGAATTCTATTATATGATGTTTTTCATAAGACACAAAATCATTTTGAATATTGGGTAAAGTTTAAGTTAATAAATAAAGGTATCAGAGGGAAAAGTGGTTGGTTGGCCTTTCTTAGCCTCTGAGACCCAGTCATCATCATCATCATCATCATCATCACTGACATTTTGATAGTGTAAAAGGTTTTCCAAAGGCTTTGTATGCATTTCCTCATTTAATCCTCATAAAAAGTTTTATTTGTGCGGTTTTATCTTATATCCTGCTACTTTGCATTGGGTAGCTCCGTAGCGCAGTTGATAGAATGCTGGTTTTTGAGTCAGGAAGACCTGAATTCAAATGGGGCCTCAGCTACTTTCCAGCTGTGTGACTCTGGGCAAGGCACTGCCTCAGTTTTCTTGACTGTAGGATGAGTATGATGAAGTATCTACCTTGTAAGGTTGTTGTGAAGATCAAATGAGATAATATTTATAAAGAGCTTTTTTTAAAAAGTGCCAAGCACTTAATAAATGCTTGTTTCCTTCCTTTCAATTAATTTTTAGTTGAATCTCTAGGGTTCCCTAAGTAGATCATCATAGCTGCAATAAAAGTAATAATTGTTTCCTTTTTTGCCTATGCTTATTCCCTCAATTTCTTTTCCTTGTCTGATTGTATGGCAAGCATCTCTAGAATTATATCAAACAAACGAAGGCACCATGGTGTAGTCTACCGGGCCAGGAAGACTTAGCTTCAAGTCTTGCCTTTCACATATCCTGGCTGTGTAACCTTAGACAAGCCACTTACTCTCTTAGTGCTCTAGCAACTCTATAAGATTTTATAGTGCACAGAAGGTACTGACCTACATTGATAGAGGGCATTATCTTATGGGAGTTCTCTATAGCAACAAAATCATTGGTCTAGTCTCTATCAAATAGTAATGGTGATAGGCACCCAGGTGACCCAGTGGACAGGACCTGAGTCAGGGAGACATGAATTAATATCTGGCCTGAGCTCCTGTCTGTGTGACCATGGGCAAGTCACTCAACCTCTATTTACTGCAGTTTCCTCAACTGTAAAAAGGGGATAATAATAATGCCACCTACCTCCCAGGGTTGCTGTTGTGTGGAACAAATGAGATACTATTTGTAACGCACTTTACACGCTGCCTGGGACACATTAGGTGTTGTTTACAAATGGTGGTTGTTATAAGACATTTTTACAAGGTTAACTCTGCTACTTAGAAACTAAGTCCTGCTAGTGCTTCCTTCCCCTCCTGCTGATTACTCTGATTCAATAAAATTTTGTCTGCTGAGTTCAATAGCCCAATACTGTCTGAATAGCTGGTAGGTTCTTGTTTTTAGCCAATGAATTCCATTTTGACAAAGCTGCAGGTGACCAGGTTTTTCTAGAATTTACTTCCTTTACTTACTGGGGCCAGTAAGTGGCACAGTGGATAGAGTGACGGTCCAGGAAATCAGGAAGACCAGAGTTCAAATCTGACCTCAGACATTTGCTAGCTTTGTGATCCTGGCCAAGTCACTTAACCCCTGCATGCTTAACTTAACCCATCTGTAAAATGGGGATAATAATGGTACATATCTCCCAGGGTTCTTAGATGGATAAAATGAGAAAGTAATTGTTAAATGCTTAGCACAGTGCCTGGAACATAGTAAGTGCTATGTAAATGTTAACTATTATATATTATTCCTCAACCCATCTCTCTGGGATATATTGCTCCTTTGCTCTGCATATAAACAAATCATTGTACAGGTTCTTGTGCACCTTCAGGCTATCTCTTAGAAGCAGCTTCTAGCCTTTCACCCCTTCTCTGTTCAGTTGTTTTTCAGTCGTGTCTGACTGTGTGTGACCCCATTTGGGGATTTCTTGGCAAAGATACCAGAATGGTTTGCCATTTCCTTCTATAATTCACTTTGCAGATGAGGAAACGCAGTCAAACAGGGTTAAGTGACTTGCCCAGGATCACACGGTAAATATCTAAATCCACATTTGAACTCGGGTCTTCCTGACTTCCAGGTGCAATGCCCCACCTAGCTCCAGTCTATCTCCTACCCTCGCTCTCAGATGACTGAAGCATCCTGCATCTTTTGTTTTCTAGACCCTGGGGTTCACAACCATGGAACATTAATAATTCTTAGTACACAGTACGTAATAACAGACCACTCCTTCTCACAACACAACAAAGGCAGAATCTGACAGTTACTATGGTAGAATGTGGTGGAGAGGATGTAGGATGTGGTTAGCAACCATTCTGAAGTGACATGTTAAATAGTCCTTTATTCCCCTGTGTCCCAAATGGAAGAGCCAGCTACACGCCCACCTGGCCAGATGTACCAGCCATGCCAAAAGGATGCACTAGAAATGTATCTAATCGCTTTTGGGCCCTCACAGCTGCACGGTCATTTTAAAAATCATCCTTGGTTGGCTGTTACTCCCCTCATCTGCTGTGTGCTGAGCCTGTTCTCTCAGTCCCCTCTCTCATCCCCCATACCACTTCCTCCCCTCTTGCAAAAATAGACACCCTTGTCTTTTACTCAACTGAGAAAAACAGGTCAACCACTGTGGATTCCCTTTTCTGGTCTACACCACTCTTCCAAACCACTCAGCATCATTGCTTAATATCCTTTGCTACAGTCTTTGTGTGTATGTGGGGGTAAAGGAGGAGAAGGGAGAGAATGAGGGAGATAATTGTCTGCAAACAGATTCTTTGGCAACTGAGATCACCAAGGAATAGGGCACTTAACACAGTGCCTGGCACATAGTAATAATGATAGTTAACATTTATACAGGGGAGCTAGGTGGAACAGTGGATAGAATAGTGGCCTTGCAATAAGGATAACTCATCTTCCTGAGCTCAAATCTGGTCTCAGACACTTACTAGTTGTATGACCCTGGGCAAGTCACTTAACTCTGTTTGCCTCAGTTTCCTCATCTGTAAAATGAACTGGAGGAGGAAATGGCAAACCACTCCAGTATCTTTGCCAAGAAAACCCCAAATGGGGTCATGAAGAGTCAGACATGACAAACAAATGAATAACAAAACATTTACATAGCACTAAATGACAAGCACGATGCTATGTGCTTTACAATTATCTCATTTGATCTTCACAACCCATGGAGGTAGGTGCTATTTATTATCCCCATTTTACAGTTGAGGAAACTGAGGGAGATGGAGGATAAAGTGACTTATGCAGGGTGACACAACTAGTAAGTGTCTGAGGCTAGATTTGAATTTAAGTCTTCCCAATTCCCAGCCCAGCACTCTACCCACTGTACCACCCAGTTGCCCCTAGTAAGTACGTAATAAATACTTGTTGACTGCTCATATATATATGTTGTGAAAACCTACAGGCCTGAAATAACTTTTTGGTTCCATTTTTGTACATTTGACAGATTTCTATGTGAGAGTTTACGTAACACTAAGTTTCCCAAACAATTCTCATTTTTGTAAAACATTTCATCTAAATTTTCCTTTTACAAAGTAGGTAAAATGGGAGTCCTTTTCTTACTGGTTTGGAAATGGCTTTTAAAGAGTTAGTAATTTCCTTTTTAAGCCCATGATCCATGAAACATCCTAGAAGCCATTCAGAGTCTTACTTAAAGCAAATTCCATTCTTTTATTTATTTTTTTGTACCACAAACTCATTTGTCATTTACAACCTGATTAGCACAAGCCAGTTGCAAAAGAAAATGAGAACTGTTAATCCTCTACATTACAGCTATGGATAGAGCACGGATTCAAATATTTATACATAAACAGCTTTACCAGGAGCAGCGTCATTGTAATTTCTTTTAAAATTAGCTTTAAGACTTAAATAGTTATGCTTGTATTGAGATTTGCATAATCTACAATACATTGTCATTTTTAGAAGCAATTATGAATTTTAACTATTTTTTTTTAAAAATTCCCACAAACTAGTGACAACTAACAATTATCTTAAATTTTAATTATTTACAATTGAACATGTAGGGTCCTGATTCACAAACTTAGTACATTCCATGATTTCCTTTGAAGTTTCCTCTAGAAAGTAAGCAGTGCATAGTTATGTGTTTCCCCAGCTAAAATGTGGGGCAAATGGCTTTTAGGAGGCAAAGCTTTGTTTACATGCTTACTGGAAAATGGGGCTAGTTACAATTGGGGGAGGAAGGAGGAGATAAGAGTCAAGGACTCCAGTGACAAATGATGAATTCTAGGCCTTCAGTTGGATCATGCTTTATTTGATTGGCAAATCTGTAAAAAGAAATAACTGAAGGCAGACACCCACAGCAAAAAATCCAAGCCTTTTCAGGTGCAGAATTATTTGGCAGCCCCAACTTTAAATTCCAGTCTTTTTAATATTCATTTACAGAAAAAGGAAAAAGAAAAAAAAAACATGAGGATAATTTTTTTTTTTTTTAGTTTTTAGGCAATTGGGGTTAAGTGCCCAGGGTCACACAGCTATTAAGTGTCCAGTGCTGGTCTGAGGCTGGATTTGAACTTAGGTCCTCCTGACTTCAGGGCTGGTGCTCTATCCACTGCGCCACCTAGCTGCCCTGAGGATAATTTTTAAAGGAGGTTTTATTACCCAGAAAAAACTAAGTTGATACCCTTTTGTCTATAAAATTCCAATCTGTGAAGCCTTTAATGATTGGCAAGCTTGAAAAAAAAAATGTGGATGAGTTCCTTTATGAATACCATTAGACCACAGCAGGATTTTATTTAGTCTCAAAAGTTTGGGTCAAAGGTGACCACCGGGGCAGCTAGGTGGCGCAGTGGATAGAGCACCGGCACTGGATTCAGGAAGACGTGAGTTTAAATCCAGCCGCAGACATATAATACTTAGTAGCTGTGTGACCCTGGGCAAGTCACTTAACCCCACTGCCTAACAAAAAAAAAAAAAAGGTGACCACCTGCCTTAACTATTCCCTTTAAAAAGAAGCACAATACGTAAGGTGCCAGAAAGCAGAGATTACAAAGTAAAAACCTTTTGGAGTTATAAAAATGATTTAATGTGCACAACAAAAGAACTGATTCAAAACCAATCAAGAAGGCGAAGTCTGGACTTGGTTAAAGTGACATAAGGGAAATTTTAGTGAATCAGGTCCTAAGGATGAAATGTTTGTTTCTTTCTCTTTCTCTTTTTTTTAAAACAAGGTAGATTCTTTAGAACAACAACAATAAAATGTACAGTAAACATCTCAACCTCTGGAATGCATGTATAATGTATGGATACCAGTACATTACATTTACAAAACTATTTTGGACAGCAGCTCCTCCCAGAGTAAGGATTTAAAAAAAAAATGTACAAGCTAGTTCACAAAGACTTTAGATACAATGTTATTAAAATACATTGTTGATCATAAAAATATTTTACTATGTACACATATACCATATAAACTTTATATCCATTTGGGAAGCCTTTAAGTGAATTTCAGGCTCACTGGCCCATCTGAGAGCACAGTGCCATTATTTTGGTCTTCACACCATGCCAATGGTCATGGTCCTGCAGCTAATTCTCAAATAACATAACTCAGATGTTCTACTTTTTTTAGGGTTGGGGACAGGCAACAAAATACCTAACTAGAAGAGCCAGTTTTATTTCCACTGTATTTTGCTTTCTTAAACCCTGAGCCAAGCAACTCGGGGCATTCACTTAATTCATTTGCAATATTGTTGCATTCCAGAAGAAGGCTATAATTGATTTCATCAGTGATGACACTGTCTTGCTTGTAGTCAGGATGCTTTGCAACAAAATCTCTCATCCATCGAGCAGCTGTCATCAGTTCTCCTGGAAAAAAATCAAAAATGAAGAAGAATTACACAAAAATGGGTCATTTAGATCCAATTAGATCTAAGTGTCAACAGTTACTTTAAAATAATGGAAGACATATATGAATTTGATGCAGACAAGCAGAACCTGCCAGAAAAAATAACATACACAACAACCATAATAAGGCAAAGGAAAATACTAAAAAGCAGCTAAATTTAAAATTAATCTTGGTCTAGAACACACATGATGAAAATACATTTCAAGGTATGGGACTTTGGTTGTGGAATGTGATATATGCTGTCACACTTAGTCTCCATGTAGGTTGGCTTTGGTTAAATCTTTTCCTTTAAAATAAAAGAGAGGGACAGGTAGGCGGTGCAGTGAATAGAGCTCCAGTCTTTGAATCAGGAGGACTCAAGTTCAAATCTGGCCTCAGACACTTGACACTAGCTGTGTGACCCTGGGCAAGTCACTTAACCCTGACTGCCTCACCAAAAAAAAAAAAAAAGAAGAAAAACAAAAAAACAAGGGAGGAACAGCAAAAGTAACACTGTATAATGGTATATGTACCAGGATGTAGCAGATGATCTGGTTCAAATCCTACCTTTGCCATTTTACTACTTGTGGGATCTTGGGCAAATTCTTACTTAACCTCCCTGGGCCTTAGTCTCCTCATATGTAAAATAAAACGAGATGGGCTCCAAGGGCCCTTCTGGCTCTAAATGTATGACTCTGTGAAGTGGGAAGAAGGAACTTAGGGGATAAAATGTGTCATAAAAACAAAACGCATCAATAATGCCTTTTTTTTTTTAAAGGGAGTACTAAAGTTGGATGCCGACACCCACCCATCCATCCCTTCTTTTGCCGAAGGTGTCTCAGACACCCACTCCACTCTAACCCTTGGACCCTTTATCCCTTTGGGAGACAAGCATCTTGGTAGGGGAGCCCTTGCTCCCCGAGGTCCCTGAGGCCTCGCCGTCTCTCCTGCTATTTTCCCTGCAGAACTAATACAACCTGGTATTTCCATCTGCCAGCATAAAATTCTCCCAATCAGAATAGGTGCTCCTTGAGATGAAGGGCTATCTCAATCTCTAGTGCTTAGCACACAGTAAAGGCTCTAAAAACTTCTTTTCCTTTATTGTTGTCATGGGAAAAGCAAATCTCTGGGGAAATGAGAAAAGTTTCCTTCAAAAGAAAAATGGAAGGTAAGCTTCTATGTGTGCTAGGATATTTCCCTTGAAGACATCCTTCGGTGTATAGAGCTGTAAGGAAATGTCTTGGGTTTTTTCAAACGACTGACTTTTGACCAAGGGAAGAGGAGAACAAAAAGCATTGTAACCATAATGAAGCTAAGAGAAAGAGGTCAGCTGGTATAAGGGTAGCTACACCTATTGATATTTACACTTTCCCGAGTTAGACCAGTGGGTTGTTATAAGGGTGGGGGGAGGGGAAGGGGGTAGGGCCTGGGAAGCAGAATGGACATTTGGCTCTAAAAGAGCATCTGAAACACAAGCAAATGTGCCAACAGTGGTCTAGCTTCATGTACAATTTTAGTAGTTACAGGTAAGAGGAGCAGGCTGCTGTGCTCAGCCAGGATTTTTCCAGGTGAGGCTGAAACTTAGCACAGTGGCATACTTTCACCTGGCTCTCATCACAGTCCCTGCAAGATGCTCCCTCATTATCAGGGCACTGGTAAGAGTTCAAATCTAAGTGCCAGCGTGAGGAAGGTGTAAGCTTATATGAAGAATGCAGAATGAACTAAGTACCAGATACACACTTAGTAAGAGAATTTGGAGGCTAGGGGCTTGGGCTCATTCAGTGGGCAATCCAACTTGTCCGTTTTTAATTCAAAGGCTAATTCAGTATAAAACACAACATCTTTTCCCTTTGGAAAAATCTATCAACAAGAATATAAGTGGCAATGGGCAGACCGGCCTCAGACCAAACACTTGACACTTACTAGCTGTGTGACCCTGGGCAAGTCACTTAACCCTAATTGTCCAAAAACAAAACAAAACAACAACAAAAAAAAGAAAATAAGTGACAGTAACCTGAAAATTCAGATCACCTGGAATTCACATTTTTTTTTAAGCAATTGGGGTTAAGTGACTTGCCCAGGGTCACACAGCTAGTAAGTTCCAAGTGTTCGGTCTGAGGCCACATTTGAACTCAGGTTCTCCTGACTTCAGGGCTAGCACTCTATCCACTGCGCCAACTAGCTGCCCTAAATTCACACTCATTTGACCCCATACTACACAGTGTATCTAGTTCTTAATTCCCTGCTGGGGAGGTGGGTGGGGGTGGGGGGGCAGGGCAAAAGAAAACTGCCTAGAGCTGGGTCCTCACATAGTCTGAAGGACCACCGGAGTGCCCAAGCCAGGTTCTGGTGATGAGGGAGAATGCATCAGGAGAAGAATTTCCCCCAAGTTCCACCTAACAGAATGTGACCCTAGCAGGTCCAATCATGTCAGCACCCCCTACTCAATAAATTCCAATGGCTCCCTAATACATTCTAGGAGCAAACATAAAACCCTCTGTCTGGCATTCAAAGTCCTTCCTAACCTAGCCCCCTCCTACCTTGCCAGTCTTCTCCCACCTCACTCCCCAATGTTGACTCTTCCATCCAGTGACACTGGCTTCCTGTGCTGAAAGACAATCTCTTGGCTCCAGGCATTCTCTCTGGCTGTCCCCAACGCCTGCAATGCTCTCCCCTCCTCTGCTCTGACTACTGACCTCCCTGGCTTCCTGTAAGTCCCAACTAAAATTCTACCTTCTGCAGGAAGCTTTCCCCAACCCCTCTTAATGTCAGTGCCTTTCTTCTATTAATTTTTCCTATTTATCCTGTATGCGGCTCACTTTCTATACATTTGTTTGTTGTCTCCCCATTAGACTATAAGCTCCTTGAGGACAAGGGACTGTCTTCTGCCTTTTTTTTTTTTGTATCCCCAGCACTTAGCACAGTGCCTAAGCACAAAGTAAGTGCTTAACAAATGTTCACTGATTGATTTAATTAGGAGGTAGGTCTGTAGCCAGTTGTTTTTAAACTTTAAGACCAAAGAAGAAGAGAAAAAACCCAAACCTTCTCCCCAAATAGAATCCAGATGTTTATTACATGACTTTCTATGACTTATCATGTAACAATATGAAAAATGTGTGGGATAATTTATAATTATATGTTCTAAAAGAGGAACATTTTTTATCTGGCTTGTTAATCAAAACCATATTTATTATTTACACGTTAACTGCACATTCACAGAAAAAACTGAACTAAATTCACACAATATATGTTGGGACTGGCATAGGTTATTTAATATTACACATTAATAACCTATTTAAAGATATGAATGGGTCTGAAATTTCTAGGCAAGGCTAATTTTATAAGATGAATAGTTTTATAAGAAAACCTTGAACATTATTACCAAGTTCTTCTGTGGTATGACAGCTGAAAAAAAAAGAAAAAAGAATACTGTATATACCTGATGCTCTCTTCTTAATTAGCTTCAAGTAATTAAGTATGCTGCATCTTGTGTCTACATCTACTTCCATATTTTCCAGGTAAGAGTTTAGAATTGGTATCAATCCAGGAAAAACACCTTCCTATTCAAAAAAAAAAGTTATCACATAGTTTTTATTTTTCTTCTTGATAACTTACATCAAAACAGAATTTGTGACCAGGTCAACCAACTCTACCTTCCCATTGATGATTGTATCTATGCTCATCAATGTGAATTCTTCAGTGTCTGTCTCTGTACCATTCTGGGCTGTACTACAACCATCTACCACAGCAGTGCCACCTAAGGAAAGGGATGGAGAGAGGAGAAAATTAAGTAACTCATCCTTATTGTAAACTGGATCTGCAAAAGTCTAAACTTACTAGAAAGAGGTTTTGAACCTTTGCAAATATCTTTCCTGAAATAAAACAGCCCATGTAAGACAGCATCTCGTTTCTGAGCCACTTTCATGTTTTCATCAACCTATGAGAAAAGGAATAGTTTTTAAAATATCATCAAATAAGGCAAAGTCATTACTTCTTTGCTGCTGAGAGTTAAAGACTTCCTTAAGAAATGTGCATTTGTGCTGGAGGGGATGTGGAAAAGTACAAACACTAATGCCAATAGTGCTGTGAACTGGTCCAGCCATTCTGGAGAACAATTTGGAACTATACCCAAAGGGTTATAGAACTGTGCATACTCTCTGATCCAGCACTACTAGATCTGCATCCCAAACAGATTTTTAAAAAAAGGAAAAGGAAAAAGACCTATATGTACAAAACATATTTATAGCAGCTCTTTTTGTGGTGGCAAAGAACTGGAAATTGAGGTAATACCCACAAATTGGGAAATGACTGAACAAGTTGTGGTATATGATTGTGATGGAATACTATTGTGGTATAATAAATGACAAGCAGAATAGTTTCAGAAAAAAACCTGACAAGACTTACATGAACTGATGCAAAGTAAAGCGGACAGAACCAGGAGATCATTGTGCACAGTAAGAGTAATATTGTTACAATGACCAACTGCGAAAGGTTTAGCTACTCTGATCAACATCAGGAGCTAAGACAATTCCAAGATAATCATGATGAAAAATGCTATCTACCTCCAGAGAGGGAACTGAGCGCAAACTGAAATGCAAATTTTTTCACTTTATTTTCTTGCCCCCCCCCCCTTTTTGGCAACTTGGTTAATATAACAATGTTATGCATGATTTTACATATGTAATTGATATCATATCACTTGCCTTCTAAATGGGTTGGGGAAGGGCTGGAGGGAGGGAGAGAATTTGGAATTCAAAAAAATTTTTTAAAAGAATATTAAAAAATAAACTAAAAAACATTACAAGTATGCAAAAAAAATTTTGCATTTACTATTGCTTTCTGGCTAATTCAACAGATGACACATATAGTTTTAGTGTCCAATATTCATTAGGTGATTTGCACATGCCTCTGTTACCACAGGTTCTTCTGAAAATAGAATCAACACACTATAGCCATGAGGCCCTCTAGAGATCCATGCTACAAAAACATGTATTGTCAGGGTCCTTCAGTTATGGAACCAATAATAAACCCTCTCAAATGAAGTTCAATACAAGGCTACCACTAGTTCACTGCCCCACAAGGTTGAGTCAGAGCTGATAAATTATTTGTTCATCTGAGAAGGATGATGAATAAAGCTGGGAAAACATCAGAACTGCTGGTTTCAAATGAAGGAAATTTTAACCTCGCAGTACTGTAAAGGGACTGGGCCCGAGATATCAGATGTAAAAGGAGACTCCGTCTCTGAAACCTAAAATCTTTTGAGTTTCCTAGAAGAGACTTGTTCAGAATAACACAGTCGGGATATGTCAGAGGAGGGATGTGAACCTAGGTTTTCCTGAATCACTCCCACCTCAATTATGCCTTGCCTCTAAATGGACAGCTTCATAAAACATTAGGGCTGGTAGGTACTTTGGGGTTATCTAGTTCAGCCTTCTTATTTTTATAGGAAACTGAGGTATACAGAGATGAAGTGACCTGCCTGAGGTCACACAGTGAGTCATAGGGGCAGAAAGGAAATAGCATTTATTAAGTGCCTACTATGTGCTAAGTACTTTTACAATACTTTCTCATTTGAGGCTCACAACAACCCTGGGAGGTGGGTGATATAATTATTTTTAATTTTTATTTTACAGTTGAGCAAACTGATGCAAAGAGTGTTTAAGTGACTTGCCCAGGGTCACAGGGCCAGTAAATGTCTGAGTCTGGATTTGAACTCAGGTCTTCTTGACTCCAGGCTCAGTACTCTACCCACTGGGCTGCCTCTAGGAATCATGCCTCCTATCCCTCACTGTTCTTTCTATTCACCACATATGAATGCCTTCCACTTTTAAAGTTTTCTTCAAATTTGCCCTCAGAGAAATTTTTAACTGTATCCAGTCCTCAATAAAGAGGTTGTGACCCTGAAAATGAGGTGTTACATCTATAAAATGTTAATTTCCTTCAAGGGTCATTGTAGATACTAGAATACAATTTAATATTTTGTGAAAATTGTCACATTTCCTATAGGATTCCATCTACTGAGAGTTGGAGCAACATTAACTTGTGTTTATTCATGTGGTCTTATGTTTCTAAATATTTTTCATCTTTATTAAATAGAAAATACTGAAAAATAAACTAACTCCCTAAATAAAATTCCTCTTAAAGAAAAATTCACAGGGTTAATACCTTCTCTATATCCCTCATCTTCCCAAAACAATCAGGTTTCCTAAATTTCAATGTTTTTATATTTTGTTAAAGAAAAAGGAATAAAAGATGCTGCATAATAAAGAATATTTTAAAAAAGCAAAGCGGACTTGTCTCCTGTGACTCCAAGACTTTCCAAAAAGTTAATGTAAAAACTTACCAAAAACTTCTGGCTCAAAGATCTTTCAATAATGAAGTGTCAGACCAGAAAATGCTGACGAGAAAGCACTATTCAGGACAACTACGTATTCAGGAAGGGAAAGCGCTTTCTTTCTAAGGAACTCTAACAAGTTCGCATACTCTATTTTGCAAACTGCCAAGTGCTGAAGAAGCCTCAGACTTGGGAGATGTATGTTTATGATCAGTGTATCAAGAAATTCACTCTTACCTTTGACAGAGGAATGAGAAAATCCAATTTGTATGAAAGGATTACTCTGGTTAACAGGACTACAAACACCACATAGGCAGAGTTCTCAAAGTCTGTTAACTGAACCTAGACAACAAAATGTTCATAAGTTTTAAAATCTTGACACAACTCCAAACACAAATATGTCCCCCCCTCAAAAAAGCATACAGACAATAACCACTCTAACATCATCACAACTCACACAATTTCACATCATATTTGCACAGTGCTTTTAACTTTTTTGAAAGCACTTTAAGACAAGTCATTTTATACTAAGATTAAGTAGGTAGATTGTATTCTCCCCGTATGAAAAAACAAAAAACAAAAAAACAAACCAAAAAGAAAAGCAACTGAGGCATTAAGAATAGCTGGCTAACCTATAGTCACACAGAGATAGTAGCAGAGTCAGGAGGAATACTCAGGTCTGACCCCTAATTCTGTGTTCTAGCAAACCACTGTACTTCTGTGGCTGTGAGGCCTAGTTAATGTTTACAATCATGTTTCCTTGAAAAACCCCACATGGTTTGAAGACCGTCTAAAACAGTGTCTTGGAGCCTTTCTCAGAATAATGCTTTTAAATGCAAATACGAAAACCACAGGATTACAAAGGAAATCAATTAAACTGAAATATAGGTATAAACATTATTTTTTAAAAAAATTTAAGAACCCCTGATCTTTTAGATTCCAAAAATTATTTTGATCTTGCATTGAACTAATTATTTAAGTCTCCAAAATTAACTACTGGACATTATTCAAGTGTTGAACTCCCACTGACATAACTTGGTAACATTCTTACCTCCATGGGCCGGAATTCTACTCTCCATCCAATATCTGAATTTGGAGGAGGAGGCTTAAATCTCATGGTCTGCCAATTTGTAGACTGAATATTCTGTAAAAATCAACACATGACAAACAGAACATGCAATCAACAATTTATGAAGGAAACACAATTATTCATTTTGTTTGACAAGTACACTGAAATGACCCTTTAACCAGTTCTACTTTAATCCAAACAGATCACTGACAAATTTTCTGCCTTGCCAGGCCAATGTGAAGGCAGCTAAACACTGAAAACAGGCAGATTTATAGATATATATCTATATCTACACCTAGGTCAAGCTATACAAAATATAAGAACTAGAAGGAACCCCGTTAATAAATGTGTATGTTTTTTATTCATTTTACAAGTATCTTGTGCCGGGAATGTATCCTTGTCTTTCTTTCAAGGGTCACCTCACACAGAGTCTTTCCTGATGCTGTAGTTATTACCATCCTCATTCTCCTCAAATGATCATGTCTATGGCTACCTGTTGACATGTTGCATCCCCACAGTAGAACATAAATTCCTTGAGGACCAAGACTGCTTTTCATTTTTGTCTTTGTGTCTGTAGTGCCTGGCATACTTAGCAAGTGGCTAATATTTGCTGGATTAAGACGCACAGTGAAAATAGCTTAATACACAATATAACATATATACATATATTTTTGTATATATACATCCACACACATGTATATGTATATTAATCAGTACAGATTACAAAATCTGTACTGTTAGGCTATATACTACATCACTGAAATTATTGCCCTGTGGAATATCTGTTTGGATCAGTCAGGGTAAATCTGAATGACCTGGTTACTGGCTGAAGAATTGTGAGGATGATGGAAAATACTGGATCGGTGGTAATATGACCAATTTAGTAAATGTGGTGAGGTGTACCATAATCCCTTCATCAGAATATTTTAGACTTTACATTCCTTAGTCTCTTACTATGCTGAATGAATGACAAATACCTGTCATCATTGCGGTGTGGATTGCTGTTAATGATTTCACAGCAAATACACAGAGAACGTAAGCCTGCACTAAGTAAACGTATTCAGAACGAAAAGGGGATACCTCAAAGTGGTCAGATTCATTGGCATCATCTAGGTGTATCTTCTCTTCAAACAAAGTCAGCGGGTCTCGAATAAAGAGATGGGCAATATGCTGGGCCAGGAGATGGTCAATACCTACAGAAGAAGGGCACAGGGAGCTCACTCCAAATGTAGTTAAGACTTTGCTCATTTTACTAGCCTACTCAGAGAATAAGGCAACTCTACAAGTGTGGAGGAGAGTTATTCTGATAGACAAATTACATTAAAAGGACATCATCTTCTTTCTGGAAAGAGCTCCTTTGTTCCATGTTTCTACTTTGTACTGGTTTTCCTTCTGATATCAGGGTTCTGTTTTTTTTTTCCTTCCCCTTTTCTTCTGAACTTAAACAACAAATGAAATGAACATTTCCACATATATTGCAGAAATGGGGATTACACATAAAACTGAATTATCTATTATGTACAGCTTGCTTGTCTTTTTAAGTATATAGGATAAATTCAACATGTAACTTTCAAAGCTGTCCTGTATGTCTGTGATTCCTTTTCTTCTTCCTCTCTTAAATGGGAGCCCTCTCATTTTATCCCACAGCATAGGGCGACGGGGAGAGAAACTTTACATACCTTGTAACCTATATGCATAAGCAAGCAGCAAGCAAAAGTATTTCCCACACAGACCATGGCCAAAGGTACATGTCTGATTTTGCATCTCTAAGTTCTGTATCCATTTGAAGCTCACGGTGTATAGTGTGAGATATTCATCTGCATCTACTGTCTTACAAAGTGCTTTCTAGTTTTCCCAGCAGTTTTAGTTAAAGAATGAGTTCTTACCTCTGAAGCTGGGGTTCTTTGGGCTTTTTAAACACAAGGCTAACCAGGATTATTTGCTTCTGTGATATACCTAATCTGTTCTACTGATAAACCTCTATTTCTTAACTACTACTTAATTATTATGTTGATGCTTACTGCTTTGTAACATAGTTTTGAGAACTAGTACTGCCAGCCCCCTGCCTTTCCACTTTATTTCCCCTTTATTTTACTTGAGTTTCTTGAGCTTTTATTCCTCCAGATGAATTCTATTATTTTTTTTTCCTGGCTCTATAAAGTAATTCTTTGGTAATTTGATTTGTATGACCCTGAAAAAGTAAGTTAACTTAGGTAGTGCTATCATTTTTATTTTATTGGTTCATCTTACCCAGGGGCAATTAACGTTTTCCCAATCATTTAGGTCTATTTCTGTCAGGAGTATTGTGTACTCTCGTATTTGTACTCTTTGTACCCTTTTGTATAGTTAACATTCATATAATTTCCACGGATATCCTGGTAGGTTGACTCAAATGTTTTATGCATTGTGTAGTTATTTTGAATAGACTTTTTCCCTCTTCCTGCTGAGTTCTATAGGTAAAATACAGAAATACTAAAGGTTTATTTTATATCCGGAACTCTGCTTGTTATTTTTTCCAAATAATTTTAATTGGTTCTCTAAGTAAACCATATATTATCTGCAATAATTTTATTTCTTCTCTACTTATGCTTATTTCCTCAATTTCTTTATCTTGTTTTATTGCCATAGCAAACATTTACAGCATTATATTGAATAATAGTGATGATAATGGCCATCTCTGATTTTGCCCTGATCCTACTGGAAAGGTCTCTAGTTCACCCTCATGACATACAATGCCAGCTCTTATTTTTAGAGAGATACTATTTACCATTATTAAGAAAAAGTATATTTACTTCTTTCTTTTAACTTCCATTTTTGGTTTAAAAAAAGAAAATAACGAGTTAGTATTTTTCTGCATGTATTGAAATGATGAGGGTTTTTTTTTCAATTCTTTTTATTAATATGGTCTATTATGTTTTTACTTTTCTTATTTCTAGACTAACCCTGAATTCCTGGCATAAATCTAACCTGATTATTACATGTGTAATCTTTTTGATATGATGCTACTTTTGATGATATTTTATTTGAAGGTTGTGTTGATATTTGTCAGGGCTATTAGCTCACAGTTTTCTTTCTCTGTTTCAATTCTCCTTGGTTTAGGTATCAAGATCATATTTGTATCATAGAAGGAATTTCCCAAGTTCCTTTCTGTTCCTGTTTTTGAAAAGTTTATGTAACATTGTAATTAATTGTTCTCTGAATGTCTGATAGAATTCACTTGGAAATTCACCTGTTCTGGTTTTTTTTTTTCTGGAAGTTTATTTATAGCTTGTTCAGTTTTGTTTTCTGAAATTGGTTAAGTTCTGTAAATCTGAGTACTTCTGACATGATGGCAAACTTTTATCCACTTAGCCTGTGGGTACATCTGTCCCAGACCTGAATTCATACCTCTAAAGAATATATGTTTTTAGGGAAACACAAGATAAGCACAGGTTTGAGAGTTACATGGTGATTTTATTATATGTGGGTTTTTTTTTTTTAAAAAGGCAAGCTGTACATGATTAGAGTTTCATATATGAATTTTTTTTTGCTCTAATTTGTATATGAAAATGTTTTGTCTCTTCGGGGAATACGAAGATTTTCAAAATATTCTTACAAAAAAAATCGAGAGAATTTCATAGATGTCCGGGATCTGAGACATACAGTCAAGCAACCTTTTAAGAGTTACCATATTCCCAGCAATACAAGGATCTAAGACATCTCCAAAGGCCTCGTGATGGAAAATGCTATCCACATACAAAGAAAGAATTATGGAGTTTGAATGCTGATCAAAGCATACTATTCACTATTTTTTTTTCTTCTATTGAGTTTTGTTTCCTCTTTCTGATGGTTCCTTCTATTGGTTCTAACTCTTACTTACAACATCACTAATGTGAAAATTAAACATATTAGGAATGTATATGTATAGCCTTTATCAGACTGTGTGCTGTCTTGCAGAGTGTGGTGGGGAAGAAGGGGGAGAAAAATTTAAAACTCAAAAGCTTATGGAAGTGATTGTTGATAAATCAAAATAAATTAATTAATTTTAAAAAAGATTTACCATAGACTTGTATTAATAATAAAAACCAGTTAGCAAATATGGTAAAAATGAGTTTTGAAAAGCTAAAAATGGAGCATTATATCAGAATACTAGGATCAGGTACTTACCTTCTTTTAATAGGCGTTCATAGATTTCTTTATCTTTTGTCAAATCAATATCATTGTATTTTTCACCACACTTAGAGAGATAACTGTCTATCGAATCATATCGAGATTTGCTAATCCTATAGCTGTTGTTCTTCAGAGGCTAAAACAGAATAGATTTTTTTTTTTTTTACAAATAACACCATATAAATAAAATACTGTAATTGAAAAAGGTAACACTAAATCTTAAGGGATAATAGCAATATTGTTCAAAGAACAACTGTGAACAACTAAGTTATTCTGTTTATTATATTCAAATCAATGACAAAGGACCTATGAAGGAAGATGGTATCTACTTCTAGAGAAAGAACTGATAAATAGAAGTTAGTATGATTTTACATTTCATGGGTTTAACATTACATATCTATTTATCTATCTAATCTGTGTCAAATGTTGGCCTCCTCTAGTGTGCGGTGGGGAGGTAGGGAAGGAGAGTTTAGAACTCAAAAGGTAACAGAAAAATTAAATTAAATTTTGAAAAAACTTAAGGGAAATGAAAAGTTCATTGATGTTGAGAAACATTTCTTTTTATTTTTTGGGGGAGGCAATCTGGGTTAAGTGACTTGCCCAGGGTCACACAGCTAATAAGTGTCAAGTGTTTGAGGCCAGATTGAACTCAGGTCCTCCTCCAAAGCCGGAGCTTTGAACTCCAAGGCCACCTAGCTGCCCCTGTGAGAAACATTTCGAAGGGAAGTCATGAAATCTTCTAGAAATTTTAAAGAAAAAAAATAATGGCAGATAATTGCTTTATGGGATGTTCTGAGTACAGTGCTTACATTAAGGTAACTTCCAAAGCCCCTTCTGTTTTTATGAAACAACAGGAGAAAAAAAGCCCACTTTGGAGGCAAGGATAACCTTCCAACGCAAATCATAATTCAAAACAAAACAAGTCCACAAACATACACTTCTGAACTTAGCTCCACTGGCACAAAGAATAAGAGTTTCATGAGTATTTAGTTTAAACATATGGTTTTATAGGCTAATAAACATGCCATAAAAGTTCACAATCATATATGTTAGTACTCATTAATAATAATGGTGAAGGCATGTATAATCAATATAATATCGCATGCTTTCTCAAGGGGTTGGGGAGGCATGAGAGGGTAGGAAAGAATTTAGAACTCAAAATTTAAAAAAATTAATATTAAAAGTTTCTTTTTGTGGTGGCCAAAAATTGGAAATTGAGGGGATGCCCATCAGTTGGGGAACGGCTGAACAAATTGTAGTATGTAATGGAATACTATTGTGCTGTAAGAAATGATGAGCAGGTGGACTTCGGAAAAATGGAAAGACTTATATGAACTGATGCTAAGTGAAATGAGCAGAACCAGGAGAACACTGTACATAGTAACATCCACACTGTGTGATGATTAACATTGATAGAACTTAGCTCTTCTCAGCAATGCAGGATCTAAGACAACGCCAAAAGACTCCTGATGGAAATGCTATCCACATCCAGAAAAAGAACTATGGAGTCTGAATGCAGATCGAAGCATATTATTTGCTCTTTTTTTTTTGTTTCTTCTTTCTCGTGGTTTCTCCAATTGGTTCTAATTACTCTTTACAATATGACTAATGTGAAAATAGGTTTAATATGAATGTACATGTAGAGCCTATATCAAATTGCATGCCATCTTGGGGTGGGGGGAGGGGATGAATGGGGAGAAAATTTGGAACTTAAAATCATATGGAAGTGAATGTTGAAAACTAAAAATAAATAAATAAAGTTTTGAAAAAATAAACCAAAAAAAGTTTCTTTTAATGTAATTGCCTATATGTAACAAAATAAAAATGTATTTAAAAAATAATAATGGTGAAGACTTGGGAAGAAATTACATTTCTTTCAAAACACATAGCATCACACAAGAGCACTGACTGTATATCATCATAAAAATATTTGGTTAAAAAAAAGCCATAACCATTGACTTGTGGAATACAGAGCATAAATACGTGTTAAAAATTTCTAAGTATCTTCAGCAGGTAGCTAAGACAAGTACGGGTTTTATAAAGTCATCAAGATTAAAAAGCCATCTCCCTCCCTTCTTTCCACCAGAACTTAATCAATTTGGGGTGACTTTTGGCTGCTGTCACCAAGGAAGAAGCAAGCTCCAACTTTGGTTACTAGTGACAGTCCTGTATTCCCTTCCCATGAGGGCCAAATGCCAACTTTGAAATCAGAAAGCCCAAAGATGCATAGAAGGTTCTAACCCACAAAAAGACATGAAACTTGTCATTGGCTACCCCAAGATAGAAAAATTCAAACAAGTTTTGAATACTGTTTGAAACAATATCCCCATTTTACCTTCTTAATTTAAATAGGCTATTAAAAAAAGCATTCACACCTCCAATCCTCTCTCCTCCCGAGTTCTATCATCTACGGATGCAGATATCACTCCCCAGCGACAATCAATATCTGAAACATAGCCTCGGTAGAAAGGAGATGAAGCACTCAAAGCCATCTAAAAACAAACAAAAATTAGCTTTTGTGGATAATGTTTCATAGTTTTTTCTTATATACTAAGAAGCCTCATGCAATCTGCTTTTTTTGTCACAAGAATAAAAGACAGGAATAGTGCTTATCCTACCCCCTTGAAATTGACTGACTTCTCAATTCTTCCTTTGTACCCCGTCCCTCTCCTTGAAAAATGTCCTGAAGGCCCTCAAATTGGCAGAGCTTATAATCTTGTTTTCATTCAAATGAATTCACTTTTTTGTAAAGGAAATATTTCTTATAATTTATGGAATAAAGTGAGCAAGACAATGTCAGAATGGGATGTCAAAACTCAAAAACCAGGTGGTGGCATCACCAATGAAATGTCTTGGTGTCACCAATCCATTTTAATTTCTCTTATCTATTAACTCTAAACATAGATCTAATAGCTGCACATAATTTATGTAAGTCCAGTTTTGACTGAGGCCACGAGAGGACAAAGAACACAGTGACAGTAGTTTTGTCCATGCAAAATCTATTCGGTACACTCAAAGAAATGCATTTCAGGAAAATCATTTTCTACTTACTACAATTGGACAAATAGTAGCCAGCTGATCATAGAGGTATCTGGCTTCAGATATACTACAAGCCTGGAACGTCACCTGTTAGAAAAGCAAAAAATTACTAACATCTTTGAGCCCAAAATATCATAATGAAAAGGAGGGGCAAGATTGTAGTCATGTCATAGGGTGCTAATCAAAAATCATAGAGACCTATTAGCATTTTAAAAGCTGACTCAGAAGACTGGATAGAAAACCAGATATGCCCATGTCCTAATCAACAACCTGGCATTTCACCTAAGCTGAACCCAGAGTCTGGGAAGTTTTCAGAAATACAATTAGGTTAGAATGCACAGGAAAATTCTCTTTTGTCAACATATTTACTACCAACAGTCTGACCCTCTTTCCAGTTATTGGCAATGAAAAATTCTGTTCGGCAAGGGGTTTGGCAATATTTAGAAGGCATAGGTTCTGTGAAATAAAAGGCAGTTAAATTTCATTTTTAAACACACACACACACATACCCCCCTTGTTCTTCCCCTACCTAGACTCCCCCTACCCCCTAACTTAATGGAAATCATTGGCCGTTTGGCAGTAGACAATGCCAGATTAGTTCATTCAGTCAAAGTCAAACTGGTTATTTTGATTCATGTAGAGGGAATAATTGGTTCACTGAACTTGTTTTGTATCCTACTGGGATAGCCTAAAACCTATTCCATGACTACCAGGTCATAGCTTCAAGATTTGGAGGGTTGAATCCCGTTAATAAAAGGACTGAGGACCTAAGGATTTATTCTTCTTGTCATTTAACACATGCCACAATCCACAAGGATTTCCCCCTAGTACAAGGAGGAAAATTTGATCTCAATGGTATTACTGAGACTTGGTGGGATGAGACCTATCATCAGAATATGGCACTGAAAGAATGTACCCTATTTAAAAGGCACCAGATAAATCAAAGACAGGAGAAGGCAGCACAAATTAGCATTGCGTATTAAGTAGATAGAATCACGTGAAGAAACTGAGGAACCAGAGAGAAAGCATGGTCTAAAAGATCAGGATGGAGATCTGAGGCAGAAATCAAAGCGGAACCGTCATCAGAATATTTTGGTTCACCTGGACGAGAGAGAGACAGAGAGAGAGAGAGAGAGAGAGAGACAGAGAGAGACAGAGAGAGACAGAGAGAGACAGAGAGACAGACAGAGAGAGAGAGAGAGACAGAGAGACAGAGAGAAATCGAGATCTAGGAGAAGCCTGGGCTACAGATGGCAAGTGTGACACAGAAACATGGCATAGTAGTCATGGTGGACTTTAATTAGGCAGACATTTGCAGGAACACTTACTTCCAAATCAGAACAGGAAGTAACTTCTTGATTTACCTTAAAGAGAATACCATCCTTAAATAGGTAGGCAAACTAGAAAGGAACATTCTTTTCTAGATAAGATTCTTATCAAAAGGGAGACTTTGTTGGTATGAAGGAAATAAAAGGAATCTTGGAGGGAAATGACTATCTTAGAATTTGTCATTGAGATGGAAAGAAGAGCTGGGCATAGTCTGACTCATACCCTAGATGGGGGACGTGTGTGGGAGGGAGAAATTTTTATAAAGGGTTCCTATGAGGACTACATAAGCCCTGGACCAAGATTTTACAGAGAAAGTCAGCTCATGGGAAATGGGTAAATCAAGGCTAAAATTCTGAGGGCACAATGAAAAACAATTCTCACTAAGAGGAAAAGGAAGTGTTGTCTAAGGAGACTGAGGTAGATGCACAGAATAACTGCCCTACTTAGATTTTAAAAAGTCAAAAGATGGAAGCAAAGCCCTTTAGTAAAAGAGAATGTGGTGGGCATAGCTTTATAAGAAAGTCAAGAGTGTTAAAGTTCAGGACAATCTGAAGCTGGTTTAAAAAAAGCCAAGAACAACAAAAAGGACTGGTTTTCTTTAAGAAAGAAAGTAATAGTGGGGAAAAGGAGAGAAGCAAGAAGAGAAAGGACTGTTGTTTGAGGCAGATAATCAACTACAAAGAAGGCTGAACTACCTCACCCTTATTTTGCTTGTTTTCTCTGTCAAGGAAAATGACCTTTGAATAGCAAGGGACAGAATAGTAAAAGTTAATAAAAAGTTGACCCCCAAAAGGAGGAGTTCAAGTCACCAGGTATAAAGAATTAAATTCCAGTGCACTAAAAGAAATGGCAGATGTTTATGCTGAGCCAACATTTGTTGTTTTGGAGAATGGAAGAGGTATATGACACGAAGAATGGTGAAGGTCCCAATTTAAAAAGGGAATAGAATGGAATGGTCTGCAGTCAGGAAGTTTAACTGATTCCCAAGAAAATTCTAGAACTTACTAGTAAAGACAGTGAATATCTAGAAAAGAACATGGGGGACACAAAGGGTGCAGATCAGGAGCAAGAGCAAGTCAATGCCAATCTACCTTACTTCCTTTTTTTTTTTTGACAAGGTCACTAGATAGGTAGATCTGGGAAAATACTGTAGACAGTTTACAGCAAAAGCTTCTGATAAAACCTCTACTCTTGTGAAAAAGATGGAGAGATGTAAATTAGATGATAGTGCAATTGGAGGCAGGAGGGCTGAGGTGGCGGGTGTCCACTGGTTGAGTGGCTAGATTCCAAAGAGTAGTCATTAGTGGTACAATGAGGTGTGTCAGGGATCTGTTCTTGGTTCTGTGTGGCTTAACTTTTTATTGATAACTTAGATAGAGGAATAGATGACATGCTCATCAAATATGCATTTGACACAAAGCTGGGAGGGATCATTAATGCAATGGAGAAGATGGGATGCCTAAATTCAAAGATGATTGACAGGTTAGATTCAAAAAGATCTTGGTAGGCTAGATTTTTAAGCCAAATTAAGAGAAATATCAACAAGGATAAATAAAAGTCTTAAACTTGGGCTCTCAAAAAGTGAACATCACAAGTACAAGACAGGGAAGATAGAGCTTGTTGGGGTGGAGGATTAGGGGAAAGAGGTACTATCTGGGGGACTACAAACACAATAGGAGTCAATAATGCAAAATGGCAGCCAAGAAAGTTAATGTAATCTTAGGTTCCATTGTAAGGCAGAGGGTCCAAGGACAAAGGAGTTGCTGGTCTTGCTGTTCTCTATCTGAATCGGATGACATCTGGAATGTTGGAGACATCGTGGGACCACATTTTAAAAAAGACAATAGTAAGTTAAAAGGCATCCGGAGCAAGGCAACCACAGTATGGCAAAGGGCCTCTATTTCCATTCCATATGAAAACTGGGTGAAGGATTTAGGGACATTTAACCTGGATAAAAGAAGACTTATGGTGGATGTGACGCTTGTTATCTTCAAGAATTCGAAGTGCTATCACTCAGAAGAGGGAACATATTTGTTCTGGTTGGCTCTGAGGGAAGAACTAGGAATAATATGAGGAAGTAAATTTGGGCTTCTCTGTTTGGAAAAAAACTTCCTAACACTGAGAGCTATCCAATAGTGCGATGGGGCTGTACCCAAGAGGTAGTGGGTTTCCTTTACTAAAAGTCTTTAAGCAAAGGCTACATGATCACTCATCAGGTATAGGTCTTTGAGGTATGCGCTGAATGCCCCTGAGGTTCCTTCCAACCTGATTCTCTGATTTTTATTTCATTTGAGAATCATAATTATTCTTAGTTTAAAAAAAGGGACATATACATAGACACAAATTTTAAGAAGATTTATGCATATATACATATGTATGTATAAATACACATGAAGAGAGAGAAGAGAAGGAAATTAGGAACACAATTCCAAAAGTATACATGGGGGAAAAACCCTATTTTGTTTCTATAAACTCAACATCTCATCTCCCACAATATCTCTTCATACCTGCTTTTTATATTTAAAATCAGAATTTAATCTTAACCCTCATGGCCATATTGAAAAGGGAAGGGAATTCAAAATATGATCTGATTTCTTTCTATTGCTTACAATTTGACGTGGATTTTTAGTATTTTATTTTAAAGATAGCTTCTTTTCAATACTAAGACTACTACAAGTTATCCTTTGAAAGGAGGATAATAAGCTGGTTAGTTTATTTGTAATGCTTAAGAGTTAACAAGTACAACTGATGATAACAATCAAAGTGCATGGTTCACTCAAGTTTACTATTTTTAGTGGCAGATGGGGGGTTGGCTTGGTCCAATTTAAAAAATTTTAAAAAGACTGCCCACACCAAGGTTGATGATGCTTGAAATTCTTTAATTTCTGTCTCAGGTTTTAGGCTCTATCAGAATGTTAAAATGCAAATTCCCCTGGAATAGGCTTCATACCAGGCTTTCCAAGCCATGTGCACCATAATTAAAATGGAATTTATTGGATCTGTTCATGAGAGTAGGTTTTAGGGACAAAATACAAGGTTATTGAATACTTGGGGGATAAGAACAAGGACCAATGAATGATGGGAAAAGGTATAAAAAAAGGAAGCCTGGGTACCAAATAGATATTTTCCTTAGTATACAATTTTACCAAAGTCCAATTGCAGTGGCAGTCAGGATTCGGCATGAATTTCTGAATTCAGTGCAAAAGCCACACAACGTTCCACTTGGGTTAGTATGTCCTGATGTCTAATAGGGAAATAAAGATCTATTTTTGGGGGAGACTGACATCACTGCCTCAGGGCAAAGAGAAGACATAAGAAGAGGACAAGATTAAGTATAAGATGTCTTCAAGCTGTTCTCCCTAAGGTACAGAAAAAGATCACTGACTATGAAATTGATGTTTTTGGTCCACTTTCTATAGGAAATCTGGATAACTGATTTTTCTTTCCTCCAGATGTGAGAAGCTTGTCTTGAGCCATCCACACCCAACATACCTTTTTTTCTAAAAGAACTCATTTGCCAGAAATGTTAAGTGAAATGATAATGAATGTACTGTGTGACTTGTGCCAGAGTCCTTTTCTGCGTTAACCAGCCTGAGCCTTAACTTGAACTAAATAAGTGTCTCTATTCAAGAAACAGAGCTAATAGAAAAACATGGTGGGGGTGGGTGTGGTGGGATAAGAAACGAGGGGTAGCAAACCATCTTGCTCCGTGCATTCTTTTCTAACAGAAATGGTGACTATTTAAAATAATCAAAGAT